TTACTACAGTTACACAAGGTAAGTTAAAGTATGCTAATGCCTCTGACGGGACTAAGATCTCGGCAGTCTCGCACGGCAGCTTGTTCCACTGGATAAGAGAAACGTTAGCGTGCAAACGCAGAAGGGTTTCCACCTGGTGTTTCACGTCGCGATGGCTGAAACAAGAAGCAAAAAAACCTAGAGGCTCCTCAAGGCGTGGAAATTATAAACTGCATAGGAAAGATATCGAGGTCTTGTGGAAATCCATGTTTCTTCTGAGAAGAACGATGGAATTGCGCAATATGAGTGACAAATTGACGTCAGTTTTTTATGCGTCTGTCCTCTTATTGATAATAAATTGCGTCATAACATTGTCAAAGAGCCGCAGGCGAGTGGTTCCGCAGTAAACAGAGGTTCGACTGTACGTACAAAGTAGCTTGGGTTGTGCACGTGAACAAAATCCGCGTACAGGATTGGCTGTCCTGTGATTTGCGGAAACTGGCAACAGTAATAACTATGAAAATAACTTGTGAGAGATTTCCTAGCCTGCGTAGCAAGCGTTTCTGTGGGGATCGGGAGCAAAGAATTACAGCACGAAAAATGGAGCGAGTAAAAGAGGGGGGGAGGGGGAGGGGAAGGAAGGAAGGAAACGCTTGCAGACAAACCCCTGGATTTTGAAAACCGCCCACTTGGCCTTTCATGCCTGAGTGCGCACACTGAGATTTCATGCTGTCATCGGCTGTCATAAATTAACCRATAAAATCTTCGGCCTTCCGTAGCGGAAGTGAACTTTGAACCAAAATAAACTTCACTTGTCAAAATATGTCTGAAACAACGAGCGCACGGTGGGAACGGAGAAATCTCGATGAATTAAATTTGGTAATTTATACTCAAGCTATATTTCTACTCAATCCGTCTAAAAGGAAGGACTGCAAGGGTGAAGTTTAAGCACAAATCTGCCAGAAAGTTAAAATGTGAGAAGTATTCCAGTCGCATTAGTAATCCTTGTGTTCGCATGATTCGAAATCTTGGATCACGGTATTCATTCGTCCAGGAATCGATACAAGGTAAAATTAGCAAGTCAATTCCCACAAAGGCAACTCCAGTAAAGAAGCGTTTGCTGGAAACGCCAGATTTGCAAATCGGTTCGAGTGTTATCGCCTACAGCAAAAACAAACAATGGAAAGTCTTCCCGGCAAACCTTGGAATTTGGGCAGGAAAGGCTTCAAACATCTGAGAGGGGAAATAACGATAATCTTGACCAGTATCTGAATAAAGATAATCTTCACCCAGGCGGCCCCCAAGTCAAAGTTGTAAATAAAATGTCCTCGTAAGAATTCCCTGC